AGATATCATTTAAACAAAAAGCAAAGAGTTATAATGGATTATTGATCAAAATAATAAAAATTATTAAATAAAATTAGTAATTATATCTTTGAATAAAATTAATTGAGTGAACTATTTTTTTAAAACAGATTCTTTCCCTCTTTTTTCTAATTTTTTCCTTTTATTTTTATGTTAACAATTCTGTCTACTCCTTAATAAAATTTTTGGTTATTGATATCCAGAAGGGAGGTTTTGAAATATCTTCAAGAGATATAATGATAATAAGAAATTTAATCCTAAGGCATAAATCATTTAAACTACAAATAAATGCTTTTATCTTAGAAACTACTTTAAAATAATTAAAAAAATACTTAAATCATGTTTGGGTTAGAAACAATTAAATATGAATAAAATTGAATACATCAAGATAAATCGAACAGTTTTAATTTGAGTTTTATTTTAAGGCAAAGATAATCAAATACAGGATTGTTGTTGGTGCTGCCTTCAGAAGAAATTGTAATCTCAATACAAAAATGTTTTTAATCAAATAATTAACCTTATATTGTTATCATTTAAATACACAGATTGATATATATTAACTTCTTTATTTTTTCTTTAATTTTTAATCAAAACAATAAAAATCAATAAAATTTAAATATTCAACAAAAATAAGTTCCTCCTTATAAATTTAGGATAAAATAACTAACAAAATCAAAATTAGATAAATATATGTAATTGGCTTCAAAATAAGAGAAAGATGTTGTTGGGTGAATCAATTATATTATTAATATTTTGAAATTAAATATAAATTGAATAACTATCAAAAAATTAGTTAATTTCATATTGAGTTATAAGCTTGAATGATATGGACTAAAAATTATAAATAAATTTAAGTGGTTAGAGAATTATGATTAATCAGTCCAATTCTAGTATACTATTTTTTAAAATGAATGTTATTTTAGAATCTGGATGGGCTAAATATTGTAATTAGTTTTTGCGAATGATGTGAAATAAGTTTGACATAAAGTCGTTGAGATCCATGTCAGATAACAAAGTCATTTTCATTTGAGTCCTATTTTATATATGAGTAATTCTGCACTGCCAATAAAATAAAACAGACTATCTAGATGCTGAATATAATATTATCCTCAAATTGGTAAGGTTCCTGAGCTTTTGTTAGATTATGAGATTTAGCCACTATTAATTTCTATTACGTTAGATCTAAGTTTTTAAATTAAATATTGACTAATTAATTAAGTTATTAAACTCAAGGAATACTAGGATTATGGAATTGAAATATTTAATGAACAATAAATAATTAGTTTTAATAATATAATAATCTAAATGGATATTTAAGAGCTCATACACATAGAAGATAAAATATCTAGTTAGTTAAATAAGTTTTAAATTTATAAGAAAAAGAAAGTGTGGAAAAATTATCAAATTAAGAGGAATAGGATTTAAAAGTAAATGTTCTGCTCCTCTCTCCAAAAATTTATTATATTACAAGTGTTTTGACTGTTGCAAAAGGTCAAAACATGTGTATTGCTAAGAATGCTATATGGCAGAAAAACATCAAAGTATTTTAAATATTTTAATATAAGATCATGTTGTGATTAGAGGAATTGCGACTGTGGAGATACATTGATCTTGAAGGAAAAGTCTTTTTGTACCAAATATTCACAATCTCAAATATAAAAACCATATATTAGGAAGTAATAATTATAATTAATGTAGAAAATTTAACAGAAAGATTTATGTAGTTTATTATAATTATATCATTTTCATCCTAACAATTAGTTTGAAAACTTTATATTAGATTAGTAAGAATAAATTATTTTATGCTCAATACTAAATTTATTTTTCAAACATAAAGTTTTTTTTTCAAGATTTTAAAAAAATGATTTAAATTAAATTTCAAATTTGTTTTATGAATTGCATGTTGATGAGAATTTCAAAACTTATTTATCCTAATAAATCTTAATCCATTTTAATCATTTATACAATCCAATTTAAATTTTCAAATTAATAACAATTGATAATTAGTAAATCAAATTTAAACAAAATACTAAAAACTATTCAGCCAATCAAAGCTTGATGAAATATTTCAAAAGTTGCCTTTAGATATTAATATTAAAAAAAACTTTTGTAAAAATAAAATTGAAAAAGCTTATTTATTTAGCTATTTCTTTTAACTTACAGGACATTTAGTTCTAGGTCTTTTGAGATTATATAAAGAAAATAAGAATCCATAAATTTATTAATTCTTTGATATTTTCTCAAATCAATTGCTCTATTTGTAAATTATAAATTAATTTATTTTTAGACCACTTTGTAATTCTGAAACTAAACTATACTGTTCCATATTCAATGGTGAAGTTGAGAAAAATTTTTGGAATAAATAATGGAAATTAGACACTGAATCATTTAAATTTAGCTCAATGAATCCGAAAAACCCCAAATTTAACATGCTATAAAAAAATTCCTTATTAATATATACCTTAACTAAAATATATCCTTGAAAGGAAACTTGAATTCAACATTCCACTTTTTAAAATCATAAGAGTAAGATAAATTCTACGTTTCATTAGTCATTTAAATTTCCATACTTTCAGGATATCGAAAATTTTTGCCTATTTTAGTTAACGTTTGGATAGATGTTTATAAATAAAATAAAGTTGGATTATAAAACATTTTTAGATTAATAATTAACAACTTTTTAAATAATTATGCGATGACATATTTTAAATTGAAAAAAGATACATAAATAACAAATTATTTGTCAAATATTTTTATTTGTGATAAAAATTTTATAACTTTAATGGATTAGAATGATTCTTAAGAAACTTATACAGATTTATTAGAGACAAGCGGACTAACCCCAGAAAAATTTAGAGATATTATGTTTAATTATTGAAAAGGAATTTGCTTAATAACATTCTGTTAACAAAAATGGAAAATCCTCTTTATAAAAAGGATAAGTTGAAGTATATAAAGAATATGTTAGCACACTATTCATTAATCATGTTTACGATAAATTTAATAAAGATATTCTATTGATGGTTTTAATATTTTAGATGTCCTATTTGTTTATTTCCATATAACTTTCCATTTGTTAGTCCAAAGTATATTTAATCTGCTAATGACAAGATGTTGGCAAAAAGTTTGGAATTTTTTTATAAACCTTACCAGATAAAAAATTATGGAATATTATCAAAAATATTCATTATAGGATGAATTAAAAATTCCACAAATTTTAGATAAAATTTTTTCTTAAGTTTTTTTCAACTTATTGTTTTAATTACTGATATAATTTAAATTAAATAGTAAAATAGCCAATTGTTATTATAAGATGTTGTGGCTTTAT